TAAGAAAAATATTAATTTTAATTTTTTAGATTTTATCCTTTTCTGACAAGAGGACATTCTGAATTTGTGAGAATTGTTAGAATCCGTCTAGTCGTTCTTGAATTATAAGCGGCCTAATTAACATCCCCCTCATTGATATATGATATTGAATATATTTATATATTGTATATATTCTTATATATGAACATCAATGTAAATGTATGAACTCCTTGCTAAATTTCGTAAGTTCGGGCCATAATTGCGACCTTTATCGGCGAGATAGGAAGATCCATATACATAGTAGGGTATAAAAAACAAGTAAAAAACAGCTAAGTTCCGCCGGGCAGAATCCGAAAACTACCACTTAAATGAAAACCGTTATAAGAGGACTATACGAAGATGTAGACCTGTCATAGGATGTAGTACCCATTACGAAATTTGAAACAATTCCAGTAAATAATGTTTGCTAAAATCATTAAAATATTGAATATCGGGAGGTACCGTTATATGGGGGATATACGAAAACGTCAACATGCATACATACATTTATTGTCATAGGCTGAAGTACCCATTACAATCATCAAATACGAAATTTGTTACAATTCCGGTGAATAATGTTGCTGAAATCATCAAAATACCGACTATCGGGGGTATCGTTAAATGGGGGCTATACGAAGACATGGACCTGCATAGAAAAAGTTTTGTCATAGACTGTAGCACCCATTACGAACTTCAAATATGAGATTTGAAAAAATGTCTGTACATAATGTTTCTGAAATCATCAATATACCAAATATCAGGAGGTTATATGGGGGCTATACGAAGATGTGGTGAATAATATTGCTAAAATCATCATAATATTGCCGAATATCGGGAGGTACCGTTATATGGGGGCTATACGAAGACGTGGACCTGCATACAAAAATTTTCGTCGTGGGCTGTAGTACCCATTACGAACTTTAAACATGAAATTTGAAATAATTCCGGTAAATAAAGCCGCTAAAATCATGAAAATACCGAATATCGGGAGGTACGGTTATATGGGGGCTATACAAAAACGTCCCATGCTAAATTCCGCGTCTGTTTTTGGTCCATTTCACCGCCTAAATATTTTGTGATCATCTCCAAAAAGAGTAGGACATAAATAGCTAGAACGACTGATCTAGGGAAGATAGGAAGATCCATATATAGTTTCCTGTTTCGGGGACCTATATTTCCAGGTGTTACATACTATTTGGCCAATTAATCTTATAATACACCAACCGTATAGTGTTGTAGGGTATACAATAATAATATTAAACAATAAGGTTCGTAGTGAAACTGAAATGGTCTTTTGTGAGACGATAAATGATATCATGTTTGAATGACAATTCTTTTAAATATAGCATAAACATTGCTTCACCCTATTTAATTTGTGTATTGTTTTATAATTTACATTACTAAGACAGCGTTTACATTTAATCATTTGTTGACATTATATAACAATCATATTAAAGAGTGTTCATGTAAACGCAGCCTCATATTGTGTCAAGTATCAATTAGGTATATCTACAAAATATTTTTCTTTATTTCTTTTCTATCTTTGATATGAAATACAATGTATCAAAAGTTGTGGTTGTAGAATTTATTAATTTTATATATTTTTTTAAACTATATTTGAGAATATATCATTATTAATTATTAAATATTTTTTGTAGGATTTATTTGGTTGCCTTTGCTATGGTATGGTTTTTACCATTTGAATAAATACAATATTATTTAACGCTTTTCAATACAAATATCAACTCAACTATATTATATTGTTGTTGTGGTGGATTTAAATAACCCCAAATATATTCAACTATTATGACTAATATAATTGTATGCAATGAATTTATGTTTGTGTGTGTGTGGTTGTCTATTTTAATTTTCAAATATGAATTTATTTTGTGTAAATACTACATTATTTATGAGTTTAATATGTTTATTTGGTTTTTGTTCTAAATACCATTTTGGCCAAAAGCAATTGAAATATGCACATACGAGTACTCATGGAATCCATGTGTGTGTATATGTGTGTGTGAGCGAGCATACACACATCAATTAGTGTGTGTTAGCCTTAATATTTTCTAAATTGTAGGAAACAATTCTATTCAGATTATCTCTGTTGTACGTTTCTCAAGACGTCTCGGGTTGCCAGTTTGTGATAGACCACAAATTGGTTGGTTGGCTGACTTAATTATTTGGAAATTTGCGGTTGTAGGAAAATATTTTCAAGTATAAAATTGAAGCGGTATTTAGGCAACAAGTGATTCAGCAAGTATGTATGTGTATATGGTATATGTTTCGGTTACATTGTATATACGGATATATATACAAATTTCATTATGATTGTGTGAAACGAATATATTGTTATGTATGAATTGTTTGTGGTATGCAATTATCACTAGGCGTAATATAATTTCTTTTCATATTTTCTTAGACAAATAACTCTATTTTTTGTTTTATCATTATAAAAGCATTCATAAGAATCATTTTATAAATTTGTTTTGAATTTTTGTTTTGCAAAACAACACTTTTTAATTGTGATTTATTTTTATAGATTTAATACCACAGAGTGAATGTGGAGAGGATTTTGAAAGAATTTTTAATATGTTTTGTTTCCATTGTTTCCAAAAATAATAATAATTTACCCAGTTGTAAATAAAACGAAATTGAGTATATAGTACAATTTATCAATTCGAACGTATTTTTTAATATAAAAGCTCAGAAGAATTTTCTCAACTAATAACTTATTTAAAATATTTGGGTATCTTCTCTAAAATATAGATGTTATCTTCATTTTCAGTTTCATATTACTCCGTATTAGTCGATATACAGGGTGAGATGAAAAAAGCCACTCGTCCGACAGCTGTTAAAATTATACCAGTGACAGCTCATTATATTGTTTACAAGCGTACAAAAGCATTTTGGTGAGAATTTTCCAGAAAAAAGTTATTCGTGATAGAATTCAAGCATTATAGTGTGATTTCTTTATATTTGGCTGGAAAACCACATGTGGCTATCGTTGGAGCACTCCAGCATTTAAATGTGAATAAATCTTTTGCGTCTTGTACCATCGCTCTTTACCGTGACACTGGTAACGTAGCCCGACGTCAAGGAAGTGGACGGAAGAAAACAGCAACATGAGCAGAAATGGTTCGAAAAGTAAAGAAGCGACTTGATCGATACTCATATCGCAGTGGCCGAAAAATGGCTCGTGAGCTGAACATATCGCAATATTCCATTCGGCAAATATTGAAAAATGAGTTCGGCGTAAAGCCATTGAAATTCCAAAAAGTGCAAGAACTTACACCGCAACTGAGAGAAAATAGACACAAAAGAGCTTAAGAGTTGCTTCGCTTAGCCGAAAGAGGCGAACTGCCGAAATTGGTTTTCTCCGATTAGAAAACATTCGTTATCTAGCAGTTTGTAATCAAACAAAATGATCGTGTTTGCTTCCCAAAGAAAATGTGCACCTTCGGTTGACCATCAGAACTCAAGCGCCGGTCATGGTGATTGTGTGGGCCATCATAACAGCCGATGGACCCTCTCCGCTCGTATTAATCGACCGTGGTATCAGAATAAATGCCGAATGTTATCGCGAAAATATTCTGGTGGGTGTATTAAAGCCTTGGGCACGCAAACATTTCGGTCGCAGACTTTGGACATTCCAACAGGACCCAGGATACCGATCTGTTGGAATATTGTGTCTGGAGTATTTTGGAAAGCAAGGATGGCACTTAAAAATACCAAAGTGTCGATCACCTCAAGCAAACGCTTCGATGGGAATGGGGCAAAATACCTCAGAGCAACATTCGGGCAGCGTGTGACGGTTTTATAGGCCGATTAAAGGCCATAATTCGGGCGAAAGGTTACCAATTTGAACAAATCTAAACGTATTCTAAAATTCGATGCTACTCCGACATTTTTTGCTTTCATTCAATAAAATTAAAAAAAAAAAATGTAAAAATTATGGCGTTAGACTTTTTCGCAGTCTTGTTATCTCACCCTCTAAAAGCTCAAAAGGATTTTCCAAACTAATAGTGTATTTAAAATATTTGGTTTTCTTCTATAAAATATGCATTTTATCTTCATTTTCAGTTTCACGTTACTTCGGAGAAAGGAGAATATGCGAAAACGTGTCAGGATGTACCAAAGTTAAGAAACAATAAATTTATTTCGAACAAATTCAAAATGATTAATTTTTTTTTTAGATATACTTAACTTGAGTCGCAACGAACACAGAGTTCGTATTCATTGTTCTGAAAAAAAAAACAAAGTATTTTCATTATCAATTATTTCAAGAAATATCGAAAGCAGAACAGACAAAGGGGAATGAAATAGTTTTGGCATAGATTAAAAATATAACATGAAGGAAAATTTCTGGATTTTAATCTCTTTTTGTTTATTTTTTTATCATTTTTATACACCTTTCTCAGCCTGGTAATGCGCTATGATGTGTGTTCCAATGCAATTTGTACATAGTGTATAATAAAATTTATCCTCACATTTCAAATAAGTGATTTTTTCATACAAGTGCTACAAGTCCTTTTGCTGATCCCTAAAAAAATTTGTTTGGAACTTGGCGATTAACTTTTCAGCATGTTTTTCAGAAAGACTTTATTAACTTTAATTTTAAATTTGACTATTAGTGTTAAAGTGTATAAATAACACAAGAGGAAAAATAAATTAAAAGAGTACTCAACACAATTAAAACAAATAAAACAGAAAAAAGTTTGTTATATAGTATAATTTGTTTTTATTAATCATTAATGATATTCTTTAGATTATCGTAAAAATATAATTGTTTATTTTTTTATTCATATTACTTTAGAATGTATAGTGGTATATTGCAATTGTTTTTTTTTTTTAGAAATTTTATCAATTTCCAGTTTTGTTTTCTTTTGTTTGTATGAAATGTTTTTTCTTTATTAATTTTTCTCCAGTTGTCCTATATAAGAATACTGCTGATATAAATTTAACAATTCTTTCAAATGTCATTTTTGTTTTTTTTTTAGATTGTTTGTGTTTTTGTTTTATACTACACCAAAATACCTTTTTGCAGTTAAGGCGTTTTTATATTCACCAGAAAGACTTTTGTTGTGTATGAAATAATGATATGTTTAGAAGATTCACATAGACCATAGGTGGAAGAAAATATTTGTTTTTTTTTTTTTTGCTGTAGAGATTTTTTCAAGATTTAGTTGATTTTGTTTGGTTTTCTTTAAATGTAAAAAATCTGTTTTTCATTTTGGGTTTATTATCGTTTTGTTTTTTTTTTTTTTATTCAAGATAATCTTGTCTTAGTTTAGAATATGCCTTAAAATAGAACTTAGAAGTAGAACTATTTAATTATTTGTTTTATCATATATTATGTATATGCGTAAGTAGTTGTAATAGTAGTGGTAGTCTAGTATTATTATTAATATTATTATTGTAAAGTTATATTTATAATTTTATTATAATTAACATTTTTACTGTAAATTGATGCAATGCTTTATTATATCAATAATTGCATATATTTTATTTAGATTTTTTTCTATATGTTTTTCAGAAATATGTTTTTTTCTTTGTCGTAATGCTAATAATGCTTGTGAATAATTGTCATGAAATAAATATTTGTTTCATATCAAATACAACTAGAATTTAGTTTTTTTGTTTCTTTTTGCTTGATTTCAAAATACTTTTGTCGTCATAATTTTAAATATATTTTATGTGAATAAATTATTCAATTTGTCGTATAATTATTTATAAAAAAACACTCTCGACGCATTTTTCTTTTATCAGATGCGTATCAAAAATCTAACTGCTTTCATGTTTATGGGGGAGGAGAACAATTAAAACTACAATTGGTTGATTTTTTTTAAATTACAATCCTTAAGGTATGGCTCTTATACCGTCCAATGAGGATCTTAGAACAACACTGCCTTCGACCCAGAAATTGGGACGATCCAGCATATTTTGCCACAGGGATAATTCTTTTCCGGAGGCATCCATCCAATCGACAATACGACCATAACTCTTGCCTGAAACGGAAAAATAATAAAATTTGTTTACTTTACTATAACAAAGAAAGATAATATCGTAAAATATAAAATAAAAACAAGTAAAAAACAAAAAGTTCGGCCTGGCCGAACTTTAATGCCTTCCACCTTAGGGTTAAGGAAACATTAGAACCCATTATGCCCCACAAATAGACATATTTGTGGGAAAATGTGGCAGAAATACTGAATATCGGAAGGTACCGCTATATGTGGTCTATACCAAAGCGCGGACATACAATGTTTCGCCAACGGAGCTAGAACCCATTAGAACCTACAAATATCAATTTTTAGACAAATCCACGAAGAAAATTGGAAAAAAAATATCAATGTTCCGAACATCGGGAGGTACCGCTATATGAGGCTATACAAAAACGTGGACCTATACATACAATGTTTCGCCAACGAAGCAAGACCCATTAGAACCTACAAATACCAATTTTTTGACAAATACCGAATATTGGTAGGTACCGTTATATGGGAGCTATACCGAAACGCGGACCTATATATGCAATGTTTCGCTACCGTAGCTAGAACCTATCATGACCAATAAATACTAATTTTCAGACATATCTGTGAAAAAATGTAAAGAAAAACATCAAAATACGGAATATCGGAACGTACCGCTATTTGGGGGCTATACCAAAGCGTGGACCTATACATACAATGTTTCGCCACACGAACTAGGACCCATTATGACCTACAAATACCTACTTTTAGGCAGATCCTGGGAAAAATGTGTCGAACATAATCAAAATACCGAATGTCGGGTGGTACAGTTATAAGGCGGCTATAACATTATCCTATACACAATACAAATAGTTCTGCCAAATTTTCCTCAAACAATGGGTCTATATCGTGATTTCGACAGACAGACGGGCATCGTTAAATCGACTTTGACATTTATGCTTATTATGTATAAGTATATATATTACTTTATGGGGTCTACGACGAATATTTGGGGATGTTATAAACAGAATGACAAAGTTTATATACCCTCCTTTCCAAGGTGGAGGGAATAATAGGGAATTTCCTGTGGAAAAAGTAGGGTTATTAATTTTTTATATAAAAAATAAATACGTGTCACATGACACGTAAGCAATCAGCATTTTCTAGACCTCTGAAGCTCTTAAATATTTATATGAAACATTTAGATTTCGTAAACAGTAAAAAAGGTGAGAGACTTCCACACATTTTTTCATAACATCGATTGTAATGGAATGAAAAATATTCTATTGACATCATTTGCCTTCAAACTTGATAGCTCTAAAAGTGCATTGAATCAGAGAGAAATAATTATGGTTTCACTGGATCATTGGATTTCTTTATGGAAAAATAAAATTCTTGAGATTTTAAAATCGAATACAACTAATATATGGGAGCTATGTATATCTTAATCTGAATAGATTTCCACTAAATTTTATATAGACCAAATTGAACCAAATTAGACAATTATAGCACGGGGCCACCAAGAAGCTTTATTTTGTTGTAGAAAAAAATCATAGACAAGAATTATTTAACATCACTTACCAGTTCCCAACGAAAAACGTACACCACCCAAAAATTCATTGCTTGCCAAACGATCATGATCCCAAACGGTCAATTCTAACGCCCGTTCGGATAAATCTTCTAAGGTCACATCCTCATAAACAATTGTGTAGGTCCAATTGGGATTTGTGGAACGTTTAACAATGGGGGTTTTTTGCTTAGAACTACGGGTGCGATCGGGCAATAAATAACTGCAATAAAAAGAAAATTAACATTAAAACAAGCTCTTCTTAAGAAAAGCATGAGTAAACTTACCTTTTACAAAAAGCATCACAAGTACCATTCGGTTTAATGGGAGTCAAATGTTTGGCCTCCTTAACTAAAACATGTAACTGGCCACCTTTGGCGGAACGATCTGATTTTGAAATGGCCACCGATTTTATGCTACCGAATTTGCGTAGACCACCACCAGAGGAGGAGGTACTGGAACGCATGAAATTAGTTTTCGTACCCTCTGGCGGTACATATTTTAGGCCCACCACAATATCACCTCTGTAGGTGGCAACTTCATCAAATGGCTCACTCTGAAGAGGAAGAAACGATTTTAAAAACAAGTTCATTCAAAACAAAGTCACAATCATAACTTACCCTTTCCTGCAACAAATACCACTGCGACTGGGGATTGTCAAAAACTCTGCCTTGTAAATTTACACTAACTTCGCCGAGGAAATCATTGCGACCAAACATATCCGAATGCCACACAGTTAGCCATAGGGTACGTGACTCCAAACTTGAGATGGGCATATGGAAGCGAAGAACTTCATCGAATATGGGATTCAAGGTGTGTTTTTTAACTTTGGTTTTGCGTTTACCAGCCTTGGATTTATCAGGTAACAAATAAACCTAAAAAGAGGATTTTATGTTTAAATTAAAACAAAATACTTTATTGAGGAGTTAATTTTATTTACCTTAACATAGGGATCACTGCGGTTGCGCTTTGCATCCACGGCAGCCAAATCTTTACAGCGTACCACATGAATTTCCAAAGCTCCCAATTTATAATTGTATTGCATGGCAAACTCAACTTGACCCTTTACCACCACAGTACCATAACGTCCTTCACCAGCTCCAGAATAGACACTAGCCATGGAATCCGAACGTAGCTGCAATAAAAATTAATTGGACAATTTATGGTTAGAATTAAAATAATAGTATAGTAATATTTTGATTTGTATGTTTCCAAAATTGGACGCTTTCAATTTAAAATTTTAGTGGATTGGTTTTAACCTACAAGTTTGACATTATTACTAAGACTAAGAGAGGTGTATATGCCCCAATTAGGAGAAACCCTTGACAAACACTAAATAGTCTCCTACACAAAATACCAAAATTAGTCATGCTCGGGCCCACAAAATACCATACCATGATATGCGGGTAAATCGTCTTGACTCGTCTAGGAATATGTCTATGTGGAGGAATACTATTCATCAATTTTTCCAAATATTATTCTATTCTTATTGTAGGGACTTTCGTTGAAAATTCTTTCTTAACCAACCTATTCTCTAAGAAAGAAGTAATCGGAAAATTCTTGCAGAAAAAGTAATCACATACTTTATAACGTGATTTCTTCGTGATTTTAAAAGGCATACAATTTTATGCTGAGAATCGACATAGAACTTTATGCCTAAGGAAGAATATACAGTATTTATTTAACGGATGATAGTGTGTCGGATCGAGTTCTAGAGTGTCAACATTACCTTCCCGACAAATATTCATTTTTTTTTTAAAAATATCGCATCTCTCGTGAAACGCTAAGAGATTATCCAAATTTTGAGATTTCAAATCCGGTTTTGAAACAGCTAACTTATTTTCATACATTTTTCATTAAAATGACTATTATATCAGTACTAATTAAAGAACAGTGTTGGCATTTTTGTTGAGGATACCGTAGCAATTTTTGTTTTAGTAAACAAAACAAATAAAAAATATGTAAGTTCGGACGCGCCGATCATTGAATACCCTCCACCATTTGGAACGAAATTGGCAATTTTCAAAAAAAATAAAATCCGTTAAAAATTTTGTTAAAATCTTAAAAATACCGAATGTCGCCGACGTGAACCTGTAACTTTTATCACAAGCCATTACAATATTCAAATGCGAAACTTGAAAAAAATCGGTGAATAATGTAGCTAAAATCATCAAAATACCGAATATAGGGAGGTGCTATACGAAGACGTGAATCTGCACACACAATTTTCTGTCATAGACTGTAGTATCCATTGCGAACTTCAAATACCAAATTTTAAACAATTCCGGTAAATAATGTCGCTAAAATCGTCAAAATACCCAATATCGGGAGGTACCGTTATATGTTATAACAAAACGTGGACCCACATGGACCATTTTCAATACCAAAAGTCCTGAAGACATAATACATATTGAGTAAATTATCAATCTACTTCATTTCGTTCGGAAGCTAGAGAGAATCGACATACAATTTTGTCCTGATCAATAATATATATTTTGTTGGGTCTAAAATGTATGTTTCGAGGCGTTACAAACGGTATGACAAACTTAATATACCCTACATACTATGGTGGAGGGTATGAAAAATGAACCCTGTTTTACTATTTTTACCTATGTAGCATTTCCATTAACAAACCAGCTAAAAATAGAGGAGAACTGTGAAACTAATTTGCCTAATATCAATTAAATATAATTCCAAACAATTAAATCACAAGGTGCAATTTTTTGTAAACCAGTGTTATTATCTCAATGTTAATTAGCTAATGATCTTTGCTTGGTCGGCTTTATCTATGGCTAGATTATCAAGAGGAAAATCTCAATAAAATAAAAAAATCTCATATATATGTATGTGTCAAAGTTGGTGAGTTTTGTTGATGCAAATACTTCAAAGTCACGTCTGTTTTATCAAAAGCGATAATTTCCGTTGAAATTTGTGTGGCAAATAAAAACAAACCTAAAATTTGTTCTTACATTGAAACTTGCAAAAAAAGAAACAAACTCTTAACTGAAGTGCATTATCGTATGGCTATTATCTTCATTTGCTGTTGCTATTGTTATCTGATTCTGTCATAGCTTCGTAGTAAATACTTACACCTAATGAACTTAAACTGCTGCGATTCTGGTGCATTGCCACCAAACGATCAATGTCTTCATCGGATTGTTGCGGCCAGTTTTCGCTGGAACCGGAGCCACGTGATTGCAATGGACTAGATGCGGGATCATAGTTGCGCTGACCCATAACAGGTGACCGGCTTAACTCTTCGGCAGCAGCTTTGGCTTCTTCTGTAACAACAAAATACAAAAAAAGGAAAGTAGAAATATAAATTAGTATTACTTGAAATTGCAAATGGTAAAAGTGAATGTTTAACAAATAAAAAATATGTCCCCAACCCCCACCGAACTATAAAAAGTGACAGCGTCATGTTATGCACAATGCAATGCCGTTTGATTCATTATACTTAATTATAGCTAGCATTTAATACCAATTTCATAAAAAACACACGTATTAACCAGAAAGAGAAGAGTCGGAGAGAGGTCAATATACATTTAACAATGATTGTCATTGTCTAATAATAACATAGATATGTACATGAATTTGTGTGTGTGTATGTTTATTGTTTAGTTGCTGTTCAACCAAACTGCCTGAGTAAAAGTGCTTATCTAAATTTACATTTTCATCCTCACGTTAATGATTTGTCATGCTAGTCTGAAATTGAACCTTCTGGCAATAGTTCATGTTAACATATGTAAGTATTTGTAGTTTTAGTATTTCACAATTGAAATCATTCTAAATGATGCATGGTAAGGTGTTTCTTAGGAAAGAAGGAGACGAATAAGAAAATGAAAAAAAAAAAATGTTGAGGTACGTTTTGAATTATCTGCTACTATTGCATCCATCAAAATATACAATTTCAACGCCAACATAAGCCTAATATTAAATTTAAATGCTCCGTTAATTTAGTGTGCCTTTATTTTCAATAATCATTTTTTTTTCAATTTTCCCAACTCTTTACCTAAACTTAAAACCATAACACGAAATCAATAAAATTAATGCTGACCATTGTCACCATACCTCCATGGACGATAACGAAATCACCAACGACATCCAATCCATCAACAACATCATCATTGTCCTTGTCAACAACATTAGATATCCTTTCCCCACCCATTGACAAAAAATCCTGTAATGCTGGTCGTGTTCTGGCAACACTTGCCCTTGAACTATTTACCGATGTGGAGGCAGTTTCAATAATGCATTCTTTGATCATAACAAAATCCCCAGCATCCTCTTCCAAAGTTTCCAAAAAACGATCGGAATTGGAACGTAAACTATCGTCCCAGGTCCAGGCACGACGTGATTTACCACCAGCACCGTTGCCACGTATTTGGTGTTGGCTATGACGCCGTTGTATAAGATTATGACAACTCGCTGTAGCACCAGGACCACAGTCATGGGCAAATGAGACCTTATTACCTCCAGCGGCTGTTGGCATTAGAGAGGAACAAACATTTTGGGTTAGTTCAGATGCAGCAGGGGATGGTGGTGTTAAAGATTTCGTGGAAAGTGCTGAATTAGATGAGATTCTCAGTGGGTTAGTGGAATTGCTGGGTAAAAGTGAATTATTAGTTGTTGTCATACTTTTTGGAGATTTCCCATGATCTGTCACAGCCTCTTGCTGAGTCTTTTGCATTTCAGCTTCCTTGTCCTCTTTGGCCTCCCTTTCCTTCATTTCCATAATATAGGCGGCGAATTTTGCATCAATATCATCATCGTCGTCATCGCCAACATATGGATAGCTCGAGGCAGAACGTCGGTGACGACATCTTAACCAGAATTTTCTCAAAGAAGCCCAACAATGCCGTTGAGACTTATTTTGGCGTGACGATGACGATGGGTGCTGTTTGAAACGCTGTTGGTGTGATTTCCGTTTGCGATTGCGACAACATTTCCACAAAAGAAACTGCCATTTACGTCGACGTCGGCCGGCGGCTTGACGGCATTCAATGGAATGTGATGCACAACTGCTGGCATTGCTGTTGTTGCGCATGCGATTTAGCGATGTGTAATTAATACTCTTGCTGCTGATAGCGTTGCTCGACGTGGTGTTGCATTTCGATGATGGTGACTTTGTTGCAGCAGCAACACCAGCAGTGCTAGCTGTCGCTGGAGAGCGTGAAGATGACGTAGTTCCATGACTAGGCTTTTTAAAAAACAACAACTTATGGCCGCCACCTTTCATTTTCATTTTGGCCAAGTTTGTTGCATTCAGGGGCTTTGTTGTCGTTGTCGATGTCGCTTCATTCGTTTTATGGTATTTGTGCACCACTGGTTCCAGGCGACGCGTTTTGGACGACGTTTTCGATCTGCCCGGCGAATGGGATATTTCGTCATCTCCATTGTCGAGTGTGTTTTTGTTTTTGTCACCTTCTCGTTTGATGTTCGTTGGTGTGGTAGAGACACTACCACCACCAGCACCACCACCGCCAGTATCGAATGGATTGTATGTTTTGATATTTGTTTTTGATTTTTTCGTTTTGTAACTGATTAATCGCGTTAGCTGTTTCATGATGGTGTTGTCTAATTAAATTTATTTGTTATTTGTTGCCAAGAACTTGTTGTTGTTGTTGTTATTATTATTTTTATTGTATATTGCTTTACAATTGCAATTACTACAATTGTTGTTCGTTGTTGTTGTTGCGAAAAATACAAAAATTAATTGGACTAATCTGCTATTACAAGGCACTACACGTAAATATGTATGAACGGTCGTTCACAATTGGTCAGATTGTAAAACTTGTAATACACGTTTTTATTTTTAGACAATTTATTAATTGAATAATAAAGGAATTATTGAATTGAAAAAAAAAATCCAAAAATATCAGTCGTGAGAGGCTATCGATAAAATAGATGGATTGTTGAGAGTGTGTGAGAAAATTTAAAGTGAGTATGGTATTATGTATTATTACGAATTTAGTCATCGGTTTCAGTGTGATCCAATGGAAATATAGGCATGTATTTCGGCCCCCTTTTCAATTTTTCCATGCTCCGTAAGTTCAAATGCTTTATGAACTGTGAGCAATGATTATAGAGAAAGAGAGAGAGACAGGGGGAGAAACAAGTTTTGTATACATCAAGTTCTATATTTTACATATTCTGTGGTAAATTCAATGCAGGAATTGTCCGGCAACTTTTTTCTGAGATAGTGAGTCAGTTCTATTTTCTTCTGCAAGAAACTGTAAAGGGTAAATAGATGCATCCCTCCAGAAAATTGCAGGCAATCGTCTGATTTGTCAAAATTAAATAAATTTTCTGCCACAAAAATACACAAAACACAAAATTTTGTAAAAAAAACAAAACGCAAAATTTACAAATCTTTTCTTCAAAAAAAAAAAAAAAAAAAATAAAAATAAAAAACTTAATAATATTTTAAAATTGGTTTAAAAAAAATCACTGAAACTCAAAATGGAGAAGAATGGTCACAAGTGATTCCATTACAACGGAATTTACTCAGAGTTGGATTTGGAGTGTGTGTTCAGTATTTGGCATTTTGATGTTTTACATACAAAATGTATTATTAAAACCTTTTAATACCCTCTACCATAGTATGGAGGGTATATTAAGTTTGTCGTTCCGTTTGTAACACCCCGAAATATACATTTTAGACCCCACAAAGTATATATATTCTTTATCAGCATAAAATTCTATGTCGATTTAGTCGATGTCCGTCCGTCTGTGGAAATCACTCTAGCTTCCGAACAAAATGAAGTAGGTTGATAAAATTTTACTCAAATATATATTCTGTCTGCAGGACTTTTGGTATTGTAGTTCGTTTTGGTATAGCCCCCATATAATGTTACCTCCCTATTTTCGGTATTTTGGTGATTTAAACGACATTATTCACTGGAAATGTTTCAAATTGTCTGTGCAGGTCCATGTCTTCTAATAGCTCCCATATAATGGTACCTCCCGATATTAAGTATTTTGATGATTTTAGCGACAATATTCACCGAAATTGTTTTAAATTTGCAATTTGAAATTCGTAGAGTCCAAGACAGAAAATTGTGTGCCTTCGTATAGCCGCTATATAACGTTACCTCCCTATATTCGGTATTTTTATGATTTTTGCGACATTTTACACCGGAAATGTTTCAAATTTGGTATTTGAAGTTCGCAATGGATACTACTAATGGTAAAAATTGCCTATGTAGGTTCACTTCGTCCTAATATAGTTTTAACAGAGTAATTTTATAATTTTATTTCCAAATGGTGGAGGGTATACATTGTTCGTCCCGGCAGAACTTTCAGCTTTTATACTTGTTAAATTTGGTATTTGAAGTTTGTACCGCTCGGAACATATAGCCATATTTTTAAAAGTGTTTCATTCGAAATGGTGGAAGGTATAAACAAGATGGAACTCAACTGTATTTGTACTTGTTATGTATGAAATCGGATGAAACATATATACAGTGAGTCATAACTATTTCGAATACGATTGAAATCAAGTTTTTAGAGTTTTTCTAAATTGAGTTTGGTTGTGTGATGCAAAAATGCATCCAAATGTTTGAAGTTTGGGAGAGAATTATATTGGACCTATATCGTAATTTGAACCAGTTTCCAGAATCAAAAGGCTTTGTCCTGAAATTTTATCTGGAATTGACAATAAATACAACCTGTACTTTAGATTGTTATAAAGTATGGACAGGCGGATGGACATGCATAAATGAACTCAGAACGTGTTTCTATGAAAAAATATGGGTCTATTCCATATCCTTCTTCACGTTGGGAATAAAGGTACAAATACATAATTCGTTGTACCACAGAGTTGCGTAGAGTTTAAACATAACTCAATGTTCTTTTCAATTTAAAAAACGTCAATTAAATTTATTAAATTCCATTATATATTCTCATTTTCTGATTCTATGTTTTTTTCTTTGAAATGTACTTATATCTGTGACTCATTCTTTAGGTTGAAGCTCAAAATAAAAACAGTTCAATATTTTTGATTATCAGACATAAAAATGTGTTGCATAGTTATGACCTTCAACCTGAAATATTAATGAAACGGAATTGAGAAAAAAAACTAATTTAATAAAAGATCTATTAAGAGCTATGAAATGTTCGGGGAAGACATTTTTGGCATTTTGTTAACAAAAAAGACATCATAACAAACAAATCTGTTCACAGTCCTTGGATTATGCAACAAACAAAAGGTCGTCAGAATCTTTTGTATTCCAAAGATAGTCTTTTGTTATTTGGAAGACAAAAAACGCGAAACGTTTTC